GCCATTAATTTTGTGGCCTGTACGCTAATGTCTCGTCATTTCGATACGAATGCGATATTGAGTGGAGGCAGAGTTTGTCGTCCCGTTGTGTTAGGTAATATATTATATTTGATTGGCACGAGGGCAGGAGGGGATGGAGTACGGGAAATGAGCGATAAACTGTCGAAGGGCAGTACTTAGGTTCACTTTGGGGGCGGAAATGTATATACTTTAAAGAGCGGAAAAATATGGAAAATTGTACAACTTTTTTAGATGCTAAATTGAAGCGAATTTTGGCTTTAAACTTACTCAAAGGTAACAGCAGGAAGTCCAGATGTAGCCTTAAAGAAAAAATTCCCAAAGTTTCCATCACACCTTTGTGACCTTGACTTTGGTTAGTTGTCATGCTGCGGGGGATTCCAGTTGAAAAGTAACTTAAAATAGACACTAAAAGTGGGACGACGATTTGAAGAGGGTACACTCCAACTCGCACCTCTTTAAGATAGGACAAAATACTATTTTAAGACAAAATTTTAAACCAGTTGAAGAAGCATAAAGGTGGATAACAGGACAGCGGAAAATAAACTCCAAACAGTTGCTTCGACCGTTTTTTTTTCCTTGAAATTGCAGAGCTATCAAAGTCAAACAGTACCTGTCAAAGAGGTGATGTGATTTGAGACGGCAGAAGAAGGTCAAAACAGCTCGAGCAAAGAAACCAAATGAGGGAAGACCGTCTCTCTTCGCTTTTCTTTGCTTTGCTAAAACTTTAAAGCCAACAATAAGTTTTCTTTAGTTTAATCGAAGTTTTTCCAAACTTACATTAACTTGTGGGGTTTTGGCTGGATTATTTTGCCTGAGTTTTATGCGGTGGAAGCCAGCTTAATTACCGCACCTTAGCAAGTTAATGTTTGTATTATAAATTGCATAAGAAAAATGCCCAAGCTACTTGGCTGCTAAAAGTATTTTTAAAGCCAGCTCTGCGTGTGGAAGCGAATAAGTGCAGAAGCTTAGCCCTGGCTTAAATTCCATAAAAGCATTTAATTGTGGGCGGGAATAATGTGGTTAAGGAAGGGAAAAAGCTTAAAAATATAAGAAGGAGCTGAGGCCATCTCCCGCTGTGAGCCACCATGTCCTGCTGCTGCATTAATTGTCATATTTCTTGGGCAGCAGCAGCTCTCGAGTGGTAATTATTTCAGCATTTTCTTACAGCTTCCATTCTGCTGCGTGTGTCCTCTGAGCAAAAGTGTTGCAAGCTTTTTGCAGCACGTAGCAGCAACATCAAGTGCAAGGTTCTGGCAATTAACAAGAGAGCCGAGCCGAGCCGAGCCGCTGCTGCTTCCTACTATCAAAGACCTTGGCTATTTGGGTTTGCCTGCTGAATGACATTTGCATACGTAAGAAAGAATTCACTGGCTTTTAAAATTCCCCCATTCAACATTTTTGTGTGGGCAAACGGGTTTCTCTCTGGCTCTCTCTTTGAGATTTTCTTGATGGAGAATGTTTATTCATGAACTGTCAAGTCGGTCAAGGTGGGCGCCTCCTACATTTGTGTCATGAAACATTTGTGTCGCGTAAAATGGAAATTGTTTTCCAAAGAATTGTTGAATGTTTGCCAAGACAAATGAGGATATTAAGAGACTTAAACCGTCAGCGTAGCAAAGGAGAAACACATTTACATTTTATTGGTTTTTTTTGTAGTTTTAAGTTTTGCTTTCCGAATACCCTCAAATCGTTTACTAATCCCCGGTATTTATGGAACCTCTTCAATCATTAAATTCGATTTCATTATCCATTTTTATGGCTTTTGCTAAACGCTTTACACCACATTTGACACCAGTTTAGGTTTTGTTAAGCCATGACAAATCCCCGTTTCTGTCTCTCCTTTGGCTGCCCGAAAAGCCATAAAATCAAATGACAATTAAGAGGGCAATCAATTTTACAGCTTTGACAGCTTTTATGACCAAAGTGCAAGGACTCGAGAATTCAATTAACGTTTTGAGCAGCAAATGAAACAAAGAATTCTCCGAGTGCTCATTTTCAGTGTCATAATAATCATGTGAGTGCATAAACATAAATAATTCTCTGTTTTTATTTGCCCCAAAAGAGGAAGCACAGCAAGAGAGAAGGGGAGAGAGTGTGGCATCGGAAATTCCATCAATTTAATGGACTTCCGTTCTGTCTCCTGGCACTGGCAATGGCAGTGGCTTCCATTTCTTTTCCTTTTTTTCTGGGTTAAGGCTTCAGTCAATGCGCTTTGGCAGAGATTAAGGATAAAGTCACACTTCCTCGTCGCATATTTATTACTGCAGACTGCAGTTGACTTTTGTGTCTCACTGTTGCGGCATTTGATAATTGCCTGCAGCACGGACACGGGCACTGCCCCTGCCACATCTACTTCCATGTGGAGTGGCATTTTCATGGCACTGCAGGCCATTCCATTATGTGTTAGTGTTAAATGAAGTGGCAACAAGAAATGTAAAAAAACTGTGGCAGGTGCGACACTTTTTTTTTTATATCGGGTTGCCGTTTTGTGGGGAGATTTGTATCTAAGGGATAGAGCAGATAGAATTTAGTGATAGAAAATAAGTGTACGGTGGAATAAACATTAAATTTGGGAAGACTTTTAGCTTTTGAAGGGGTCCAATGTCAGTACATGAACAGTAATTTTAGAATATTTTCCACGTTCCATATGTTTTTTTCCACCCACAAGGCTGCACATGCCCCGCCAGTGTTGTGTAGCGCACATTGCCAGCAAAACAAACAAGGGGCAAATAGCAAAAATGGCGATTAGGATCATGTGAAATGTGTGTTCTATTCTGGTTATTCTTGGGCAATAGTGTCACTGGCATTCACATTTTTGTTTGTCTCTATCTCTCCATTTGCTGTGCAAAATTATTACCATGCTGCCAGCCAGCCACTCGTTTGCTTTTTCTAATGGGAACTTTGACTGTGGCTTTACATAGTAGTATGTGTGTGTGTATTTGTATATATATAAAAAGCGTTTAGTGTTTGTGTGTGTGTGTGTGTGTGTGTGGGTACTGCCATTTGGTTGGCTGTGGCATTCAGTTTTGATTGCGTGAAATGCAGCCACGGCCACAGACAAGAGGGTGCCCAACCATTTGGCTGAATTTATTTTTAGTTGAGTTGGGGAAATCCATCTAAAGGATGAGCGAAAAACCCACAAACAGATGGATGGACAAACTGGCGGTTCGTGTTCGCTTATTTTAGTTTAATGACATTGTTTTGTCTGTTGTTTGCATGTTGAATTTCCACTCCCCACACCCAACACAACCACACAAAAATGTACCCAAATTTCGTCTAAAAGTTAGTTGCTATTTCTGCTGTTGAGTTTGGCTTTTAGTTGCTGTAAAATGTCACAGGAATTTCAATTGAAAATAAAAATCATCATGGTTCTGCCGCTTTGTCTTGAAGTTTGTACAAATTATGTGATAATCTAAATGATTAATGGAATGTAAATGTTTTCAGCTCCCCATGCCAGATATTATTCTCCCTTTCGTATGCCCTTAATCAATCGCCCCAAAAAGGGTAAATCACAACAGTAGCCTGTCGGACAGCCTTCGTTTACCTTCGCTTACCTTAGTTTTTCATGCCAAGAAAATTGCCTTTTTGCAGCTTAACGATGTGCTCTCATTTCCGCTTCATTTCCCGTCAACAAATTTTGCGTATAAAAATCAAATACCACGCCTGCTGGGGTTCCGCCCTTTAAGCGGAACAAATTGCATTAGTTTTTCCTCGAAAACACACACACACACACAGAAAATACATACATCTACATATCTACAGCCATTAGGAATTGTGAAAAATTTGTATTTGTATTGCAGCATTTTGCCACACTTCAGCGCCAAAATTCCTTTTTCCACACTTCAACAAAAGCATTTTTATGCCTTTATGGAAAATGCATTCTCTCTCTCTCTATTTTTTCATTGCTCCTTTTTTCTTTTGTTGGCTAATAACTAGGCACTGACGGGGGTGGTTAAAGTTTATGGCACTTTGGCAACCCGTAAACTGCATCTATTTTTTTGTATTGTTTTTAATGTTTTTAAAGTTGTGTGTTTCTGTGATTTTTTTTCAGTGCGTGCAACAGTTAGGGGCAAGTTTTTTGTTTCTGCTAAATGTTTGGAATAGAGAATTGTATTTTTTAACTTTGGTTTTGCGTTTTCTGGGCGTGTAGTTTTCTGTGATATTTTGTGCTGCAAATTAAGAGCATTTGCTTAAAGTTTTTAATGTTAACATATAAAAACAATGATAGACGTTTGTAGTGTAGCAAATAAATGGTTTGAGTAATATTCAGGTTAGCTTTTGCCGTTGCTCTACATGTTCCCTTTCATCTATAACTACAGGCAAAGCCCTCCTGAAAATCCTTGAACTTCAAAAACCAGCCCATCCTTATTGTCTGTGACATTTTGCATGTGTCCTCATTTGAAATGAGACAGCAACAAACAGACGGCCAGAAAATCAAATGAATAAATAATACAGTTTCGAATGTGTGATCTTGAATATGTGTGTGTGATTATGCATTTTATTTGTAAGTGTTTGTGAGTGTGTTATTTAAAATACGATTTGAGTTGTGAGAGATTTCCAATTGTGAGAGACATTTTCCAAGTATTTTAATTTCTCCTTTCCTCTGCTGCTGGTTGCTGCTTTCCCATTGAAGATAGGGTTCCTCTGCTCTGGATTTCCTCTCCAGATACCTCTTGGGTGTACCACTCCATCTATCCTTTGTTTTTCCTCTGCAGATGCCTCTAGGTTTCCTACTGCTGCCTGTTGGATTTCCTTATGGCTGTTGATGATTGTAATTGCATTTTGTAGATATTTATGTATCTCCATGCAAGCGCCCAAAGGCATTTACATTGCCAATTAACTTAATCTGCTTAATGGATTTCTCTAACAATGGCCTTATGAATTTTTAAGCTACTTGCAAGTTTATACCAAAACCAATAATGGATTTTGGAATATTTAATCAATTAAATTGTTACATTTCCAGGCTCTCTGCAGCAGTGACTGATAATTCTTGCGAGCCCTAAACTTTGCATGTGAATGTTAATCAATTTAAAGGCTTCTTTATTTATGAATAAGTTAATTGTGTTGAATATGTTAATTTGTGTGGAATTCATTGAGAGGGTCTTGAGCATTTCAGCTGTGTATGACTACAAATTTATTTGTATTATTTTACAATGAAATTTATCTGCTATTCAATTAGAAATTCCTGAATAAAATGGCGATATTCATAGCAGAATTAAACGTTTAGGAAGCCTAATTGGAGGAACCTTTCTAATTTTGATGTGAAGCTTAGATTCAAGTAAAGTTGAGTTGTAGTTTTCCCATTTTTTATTAACTAAGTTGGAACCATAAAAAAATTTACTTTCATAACGAAATTGCTGCTCCTCTTGCCTTTCCAATCGATTCCACGATTTGTCATTGCTTTCACATACACCTTACCATGCCACACCTCTACCTGTAGCCCCTCTCCACCTCTTTGGTCTCTGGTCGTGCCTGAAACCCATTCACACTCAATAATTCCAGACTCTTTGACGAAGCAGGCAATATCTCACACTCTGTTGGCTGGAGAGCCGTAAACGTGGCCGTAAACCGTAACCACAACCATAACCGTATCCCAGGCAAAAGACAATCGAAGCAGCAGATAGAGATGCATGTCCTTGGAGGAAAGGACCGAGCTGGTCTAATAAATTACGTCAGCATTCTATTCTATTGTGTTTTGTTTCGGTTGCTGGGGTGCGTGTCCGGCCACTGCATACAAATGTGATAATTTCTATGGAAAACAATTAGTTCTTGCTGCTGCTGTTGGCACGGCTCCTGTTGCTGTTGCTGTTCCTGCCACACACTGCATAGAATACACACAGAACTGAGTGACAGCCAAGGAAAGTAATTTTCATTAGTGTACTGTTCTGTGTATTCTAGTAGCTAGTTGTAGTCCTCGACTTTGTGTTTGCGTTCTCTCCTCAGAAGGGTGTGTGCAATTATTTAGTTGATATTGCGTATACGTCATGTGTTGTGGCATTTCGCCTTCTGCCTTTGTTTCTCCCCTACACCTTTTAGCCATATTGTGCCTGGGTTTTGGCTTTGGTTGGAAAACTTCACTCTGGTTTATTGTGTGTGGCCGGATATTTAGGGTTTAATTAGTGCACTCGCAAGTCCACATGTCTCGACTGATTGTTTTGGGGAATTTGAGGTCGATATATGGAAATTGTTGGCTCAACTATGACTGAGGGGAAAGAGTTAGACCAAAGGCAGCGTAGACCACGTAGGCCCAGGAAGTTTTGTGTCTTGAGCGTAATGCCAGGCAGCAAGTTAGAGCAAAACTAGAGCGCGACTTTGGGCATAAATCACTATTTAAACGGCAGTCAAAGGTTCGCCAGAAAATAGTTAGCAAATCTTTGATTGAAGATACATTTTGTGGATCGAAGTTGGGCTAACAGCTCCAAAATACTCTCCGATAATATTAACGGTATTTATCTTTATTAGAACCAATCAAACAATTTATTTTGTCCCGCTAAACTCCTCCTAAATGCTACAAAAACTGAACACAAACCGTCTCGACTGCTATGTCCATTATCAGCCCTTAAGCCAATTGCAATCTAATTTAATTCTAGCCCCAATAACTACTCACAACAAACAAAAGCTCACAACCCAACAAACAACACTTTCTATGTACTATTCTTCCAGTTAAAGTTACAAAGTCCTCAAGCAAAAACTAGCCTTAAGAACAAACTCCCTTGCCACCCACTTAAGGCCAGCTTTTGGCCATTACTGTACCACCGAAAAGGTTGCTCGCTGCTTATAAAGGCTGCCTGTCGGCTGAATCGAACGATGACTAGAGCAAACTAGAAGGCCACTCTAACACGAACTACTGAAGAACACACCCACAGAACTGTACATCTGCACAGCTCCATCTGTTTAGACAGATATTGGCCCAAGGGCCATAACCAGGAAAGCCAGCAACAGAAACAGCAACAGAATCAGAACCAGAAACCACCCTTGAACCCTCCGCAAGCCAACGTTTTGGAAGGGCCACGCCCAGGCAATTGCGTGGGTCAGGTAGACTGCAATTGGCAGATAGACACGGGGAAAGTCCCCGCACCAATAAGTGCACATACATAGCGCATACGACATGTGTGACAACACATTTTGGTGCCTGCCTGTTGTATGCCTGCCACCTGATGCCTGCCTCTTGTCGCTTCTACATTCGACTTCTACTTTGCAAATTGACACATGAAAACTAAAATTCTGCTGGCAAGCAAAGCCAACCTGCATGTTGTGCGAAATTATGGATAAGGTATACTGTCCATCCAAAAGTTGGAGAACAAAGGATGTTCCGGAAAGCGGAAAACAAACGAAAAGTGGTGCGAAAAAATAATAAGATATATTAAATAAATATAATGATAAAAAGCTGCTAAAAATATCGAAATATCTTTGCAAAATTTCGATAAAAAAAATACAATATTAAAAATATAAGAAATATAAAATTCTTAGTCGTTCGGAAATATGTTCTTACAAATCTTAAATCTTTCCACAATTTAAAATAGATATTTCACAGTCTGTCGAAAAAACTTTCTGAAATATATGAAATCTCTCCAGAGTTTTCCAGAACACCTTCAAGCAGCCCTCGACCCTTTTTCGGGGGTGTAGCAGAGTGCCCCGTCCTGTCCATGTTGGAATGTATTCCAGAAGGGAAGCTTCTCTCTTCGCAAACAGCAACCAGCTTTTAGTAAAAATATACTCGCATTTATTGTACATATCCTGGTGTCACGTGCTGAGCGCTTAGCACAAAATGTTTCTTTGGCCATTGGAAATTGTGTGTGTGAATGAATGTCCGGGGCTCGGGCTAACAAGATTGTGTATGTGCTGGACAGCAGCTTTACGCTTCATTTAACAGCTCTCGTTGTTGCCGTATATGCTTATTATTTTTTGTGGCCAACAGCAGCAGTCTCCAGTCTCAGTTGACAGCACCCCCGAGAGGAGTCTGAGAGCGAGTGGACTGCGTGCTGACTTCATATTTATGACATTTATGCAACATTCATTATGTGTGCAGCACACGACACTGCCAACGCCAGTGCCACTTCCCCACACCCAGCTACAGTCACCTCAACCTCTTGATTTTTGTTCACAAAAATTAATATCTGGGCATACACCAAGCGCCGCAGTCAATTTTGTGGTTTCTCGTCTGGTCACAGTTTTTAGTATGTGTAAACTGTTTTGTGTTCACTTTTCGGGGCAAGGTGAATAAGTCCAAACAATTTTGTGCCACAAACAAGTTTTTAAATGTTGCTTTAGATTTTTATAGATTTTTGGCAGGCCATGAAAAGGTTTTAAAGTTGCAAGGTAAAAGTTGTGGAGGAGATTTTTCCCTACTTTTTTAAAGGCAAGTGCTCTTAAATCTTTGCTAAACTCATTGAAGCATCTTCTTAATCTAAACCCTAAATAATATCAGAAATATCTGCTCTTGTTCAACCTTTTTTTAACCCTAAAAGCTACAGCCATTTCCCTTGCAATGCCATTTTGAAATTGCGTAAATAATCCAACAGCCGAAATAATCTACAGAACAATCACGTAGAAAACGTAAACCACAGCAGGCATTAAAAATAATAAAAAAATCAAATGGTAATCAATTGCCATATAAAACGAGTAGAAAAACTGGGCCAAAACTGGCCACGAAAACCAACAAAAGAAAACACTCGTCGAAAACGCTACGGAAAAACAAACGCTTGCCGCCAACAAAGTTGTACAGAAGTTGTCCCTTTTTATACCACATAAAAGAAAACTTTAAGTGCAACCATAAAAGGCATCGTCACAGGGGTTGGAAGGAGCAGCAGAAGGACATCTCCACAGGCAAAGGAAAAGCATCACTTCACGGGAGTGCGGAAAACCGTTGGAAAATGAAGCGATTTTTGTGTGTAAGGACCAGTGGCAGTGCCCAGCCCTAACCCTTTGCCCCATTTGACCTTTTCAATCCGCATCAATGTACGCACCATTAACCCGTATCACCAGGCACCGCTTTTCTTGAGCTGTTCCCATTGAATTATATGCTGCGAACTGATTTCCCGCACAAGTCGTGGGGAGAAGCTTATTGGGTTTTTTCCCCTGACTTCGCTGTCAATTAGTGTGACCGACGACACATAAATTCCAATTGTTTTGACACTAAATGAAGAAAAAAAGAGCAACAAAAATAATGAATGGCATGAAATTAAGTTGTCTGGCGCGTGCCCGCGGAGTGCCCTGCCCCGTGGGACATACATGCCATATGAACGATATGTGTATTCCTTGAATTCATTTACCTTTGTTTTGGGGGAGAGGATAGGATGCATGTTGATGGGATTAAGGTGACAGACTGCTAAAACAGAAGGAGTTTTCCACCCGTGGAATTTTGTAGAATAAAACGAGAAGGGACGTGTGAGACGCTTCTTACGCGTCACAACTTTTAGCCGATTGAGCCATGACTGTCTGTCTGTCCGTCAGTCCATCCGTTCGTCCGTCCGTCCGTCCAGACTTTTAGCCACTGCAAATAAATTCTTCATTGTGACTATAATAATGATCCAATCGGATCCCAATTTGGTGATCTGATAGATATGGTCATTCTCTACGGAATGGCTTTTTAGTTTTCTTTTATCTTCAAAACTGTAGGATTGGGAGGTTTTCGCCCTTTTGAAATACACTTTTAACAGTGTGAGCATACAGAAGTCTGTGTGCAATATTTGGTGGCTCTAGCTTTTATGGTCTCCCAGATCCGAGACCGAAAGAGATACCCTCTTTACTTTTCGAGTACCGGGTATACAAATTTTACCCGTAGTCTGTACATGCCATCGTTGAAAAACGCAACGTGCAATGCCAGTTCCAAACAGTTTAACTGCCACATTACGTTTGGTGCATCTCCAACCAGTAAATTAAATTTCTGGCTTAGTTTAGGCCACAGCAAATATTTGCACACCACAAAAAAAATGTTTTTCACCAGGAAGAATTTGACTTGCAAAAGCAATTTCCACAAATTTCACTTCTTCTTCCTTTGACACCAAAAAAAAAACTACATCGAAAGAGAGCGAAAGAAAAGGAAAAACAAGCCAGAGCCGAACAAAACTTTAATAGAAAAATATGTCAAGTGTCTGAAGCTTTTAAGAGACAGAAGTTGGTCCAAGAAAATTTCCCTATTGAAGGAAATTAAATAAAACTTTTGCCACGGAAAATGGAAAAAAGAGATTTTTGTGTATGCATTACTTAACTTATTTTCTCTGCATAAAACAAAAGATGAAAAGTCAAGGATTGTGTAACAGTTGTTTCTTCCTTGGATTTGGCTGGGATTTCCCAACAAAATGTTGAAAAAATCAAATTGTTTTTCGCGACGAAGCACCAGCCCACGTGGCACAAGCGAGCCTAATAAAACCAATTTGCGTCTGACAACACAAGAGCTGAAAAGCCTGTGAAAAACAGAAGGCAAAGCAAATGCAAACAGAAAGCAAGGACTGAAAATTTCGCATCAAAAAGAAGAGAAAAAAAAACAAAAAACAATAAATTCAATTAACTTGCGCCGCAGCTTGCTCTTTTTTTTTGGGAGGGAGCGGGGTGCGGATGTTTTACTCTGCTGGCAAAACATCAGCATCCATTTTGCTCCTGGGGCTCGCCACCCGAAAGCTTACTTAACGCCATTTTTATGAGCTGCCCGGGGAAGAGAGAGAAAGAGAAATGGGATACAATAAGCAACATGAAATCAAATTAATTTGCTTAATTGTCAGCTAACATTTTTTGTTTTATGTATTTTGAGCAATTTTTTTTTATGCCTTTTGTTGTTTTATTAAAAGTAACTTTTTAGCGTATACATTTTTCATAATGAGTTTTCCATGGAGCTTAGGCATATAATTTTGATAGGATTTTACTCTAATTAAATAATATTTGCTCATGGGCAAATGTATTTAATTAAAGCAGAGGAATAGGCATGATGGTTAGGAATTTTAAATGCGGGAAACGTCTTTATTTATGTGACAGATAATTCGATTTTAAAAAGAATAATTTAAATGTAGGGAAAACATGGGACAATACAATATTTACAGTGACATAAAAATATATTAAAAGAATTCCACAATTTAATTAGATTTTAGTAATAACATGATTAAAATATTAACAACCGTGTTCGTTCGGCAAACAATTCTTTTTTGAGTTGAAAATTTTCAGTGACTTTTTTCTAATATTCAACATAAACTGCGTAAACTTCGTCTGCGACCAACCAATTTCTCTACAGCAAATAAATAAAAAAAAAAGCATGATTAATTTTTAAAGCATAAATTTTTAGTGCTCGAAATAAGGTTCTTCAGATTTATAAAGCGCTCTAAAGCTCTATAAATTTAACATATAAAGTACCAGACATTTTCTAGATTTCTTTTTAATAAAATTCCAATAAACCTTTACATATATTAACTCTCCATTACGGTCACTCCTTAGCTGCATATCTCTTGCACCACTGCCCATAAAATAATAATTAGTTAACTAAGTCCCACGGGTGACTAAATAAATAATAAAAAAAAATGCACAAAAAATACATTCAATTATATATCTTTAACAAAATTATACAAAATAAGCATCTACAAACAAGCGAAACAAAACGGAAATAAAATAAATCAAAATAATGGCAACCAGATCCGCTTAGGAAAAGTCAAACAAACAAGTACAACAAAAACAATAGCACACAAGTAAGAACGTTTGTGAGACGCTTCGGACGCGAAACAACCTTTATACCCGGTACTCAGTCACTATATTTGTACCTTCGTGGTTTTTTCGAGTTTTACATTTTACATTTTTTCTACATCTTTCGTCTACTTCTACACTTCTACACTTCTCCCGCCAACACGACCAACACTGCATAAGGCAGAGTCTGCGATCGAGAAAGAATTAGCTTAAGCAAAGCTGAGTCTTCACACAAACTTTGGTGACTCCAGCTGAGGGAATTTTCTAAAAACGAGGCGTCAAACAAGACGGACAGACAGACATATATAGACTCGGCTTTTGACGCTGACCAAGAATTTATATGGTTTATAGGGTCAGAAACGTTTATTTTGTGCACAAATACAATATACCTCTTCGAGTACCGGGTATAACAATATTTTCCAGCGAAAATAGAGCCCTTTTTGTGCAATTGGGCGGGGATTCTTTGTGTGTAATAAATTGTAAACCCAATTGTAATTTGCGACTTTTCTGTGTATATATTTGCAGATCCCTGTCATCCATATGAACCATTCAAGTGTCCCGGCGATGGTAATTGCATTTCCATTCAATATTTATGCGATGGTGCACCCGATTGCTCCGACGGATACGATGAGGATATGCGTCTTTGTACAGCGGGTAAGTCTCCATCATCTATCTCTTTCTGCCCCAAACATAGGCCATAAATAATTTTCTTTGGTTTTTGTATGCTTAGAGAGCAGCCAGTGATTGGCATTACTTCCATTACTTTTCCCAGCTTGTGTGTAAAATGTTGTACACATTTCCTTGTAAATTATGTTGCCAGAGGGCTGGCTGCCACATCAAAGTTTTTGATTCTCTCTCTGCGTGTTGCACATTTTGTGGCAGCAGCTCTTCTAATCAAATTATAATAAGTTGAAGCCAGATTTATATGCAAAAAAGGTATAAAAAAACATCCAACAAGTTTCACTAGTTTCGAGGTCTTCATGGTTTCAGGGTCAGCGGAAATGAGTTCTATGTCAAGCGTGAAAAGACCTTTGAAACTTTCATAAATTGGTAGAGAAATTTGTTCAAGAATTAGCGCTTGTTTAAAGGTTTGCTTTAATTAATTTTCAGTGGGAGCTTAAAAATAAAATTTATTGCTAAAGGATTGCCACACTACTGATGGTTGACTGAATGTGCGCTAAAATCTTAGCGTCTCTAGGAGAAATCTCATTGCAAGGAGTATTCTTTTTTCTTTTAATTTTTACTCCAGCAAGCTTTTCTCTCAGAATTGATAGTTTTTCGTGAATATCGAAAACGACCCAAAAAGAAGCCACATCCCTAAAGCAATAACAACTTTTCACATCAGTAACGCAGGCTGAATTGATTTACAATCGGCTCAACAATGAAATCAAATTGTAAACCAATTCAAAGAAAAACTTTAATTAATTCGGCGCAGTCCATAAATGCAATTAAAATGTAAGTGATGTCAGATAGTAGATGGAAGAGTAATTGCTACGGCAATTACGTACTTTTTATATAGTTTACATAATTATGTCAGGCAGGGCTGAGTTCTGTAACTGATTTTACACCCTTACTTTAAGCGAGAAAAAAAACAAAAGCCCCACAAATTGGGCTTGAATGTTGGGTTTTTCTTTTGGAGCGTGGGTGAAAAAAGCGACAGCGAAACTTGAGGCCAACACAGCAAATTGTTGCTGCTAATTGCCAGCCATTCAGTTTGGCCTGAAAGTTGAGATAACAACACCACACTTCAGTCCCCCTCCAGCATTGCCTCTTGCTGTTTTTCCTCTCTCTTTTCTTTAATTTTCCTACTTCCTGTACTGCTCGTTCCGCTTTAACCTGCACAATGGCACACATTTTCCCCGGGTTTCCTTCATTGTTAGCGGCAAAAATAGACGCAAAATAAACTATGTTTTTCGACAATGAAATCATTTAGGAAGTGTCGGTGGCTCTGGCACTCCGGCGCTGGCGTAAGTTATGGATCCAACCTCGTGAATGTCTTTGATAAATTATGCGTTAGGTTTCTCGTTACCAGGACAAGGACTTTCTACCTCGCTCCCTCCCAAAGGACCAAATTACTCCTCTCTTGTGGGTCTGGTCTCCCAGGCAACAGTTGAAAGACAAAACGAATGCTAGAGGCTACATTTGTTTGTTGCTTTGGTAAGACCCAGAACCGGCACTTGTTTAATTGCTTGACTGTACTTGCATATCCTTGAGGCGAACACAAATTGCTGCTTAATGGCTAATAATTAATGTTCAAGCTCTACCGATTGTAAAGAAACAAAGAGTTGCAGAGAAGAGAGAGTTAAGAGTATGAACAAGTAAAAGTTAACAATTCAAGGGAAAATCGAGCAGAGGTTTATCAAGGATTTACAAAAGAAATGTGTAACAGATAAGCGCTTTAAATTGCTTTAAACTGCACCAAACTAATATTTATAGGCCCCGCTTCCCCCTGCTAAGTTCAAGCAAAGAAAATTCCAACCACATCAAAAGGAGTATTCAAATAAAACTTGGAATAATTATCCCTTAAATAAATTTTTCCCACTTATGCAAATGGCAAAAAAACCCTTCATTAAAACTCCACTCAGGCACTCAGTTTTTGGAAGCATCTTTTAGGGTTTACTTTTGGTTCATTTTCAACGTAAAATTGCAATAAAAACCATTCGAACGAAAACTTTTAACACACTGCACTCGAATAGCCATGCCCCGAGGGAAATTAGCATAATTTTGCATACATTTTATAGGGCCAACACAAAAAGTTTAAAAATGTTAACCCCCACACAGCAACAGGGTCGCGGGGTGGGGTATAAGCAGCGGATGCCATAGCGGAATTGCCAGGTAGGACTTTAATCTAAACGACTGATGTATATATGCACCTCCATGGAGTGGAATATGTAACAAGTTAAAGGCAAACAACGGGCGACAATCCAAATGTCCCACAGCACGAAAAGCACCCAGACCGAGTCCCTTCTTCCATGGCTATGGGTTACTCCTCTCATGCTACTGGAGTCCCTTCTGCTCAAATACCAGTGGGTTATCCCTGCGCCTCCCTCATGCTACTAGTATGCCCTTTCTACTCTTCCATGCTTCTAGTACGCCCATTCTCTTCTCCCCTGCTACTAGGTCATCCCTGGCGGTGTACACAGTGCAAGGCGGAACAGAAGCTCATGTAGGCGACACAACAGAAAAAAATATGCACAAGATAAGATAAGACGTCCCAGATACCCTCTATCAAAATAACAACAGTAACAGTAGCAGAACTGCCAAGAGATCCCAAAAACTAATGAAATATGGAAAATCAGAGACAAAACCATAGTTTCTTACGATCGTGCGACAAATGTCTATGGTTTATGTCTCAGAAAGCCCTTCTGTTCATCCTCCCAACCATCTACAGGGTATCCTTGCTAGTCATGATCCCACAGGATATGGGTAAAAGAAACGACGAATGAACGGGAGGGAAAACGGTTTGCGAACATCGCCATTTGCATAACAAATAAAGTCAGTAACTGAATCAACACACACACTCGAGCATAGCAGTGCATAGGGAGAAAGAGAGAGAGAGAGCATAGCTTGGAGCGGGAGGATACGCTATGGATACGTGTCCTTGCAGCCATTAAAAATGCCAGCATATGTGTGTGTGTGTGTGTGTGTGTGTGTGTGCGAAAGAGCGAGACTGAGCTACAGGTTCACCCATGGGTTAACAAGTGCAGTCAGCGGGTTAAAAAACAGCGACGCCCAAGCACTGTAAAGTCTGCCCTTTGTGCATGACTGAATGACGTGATGGACGAGCAAGCTACGACCTGACTGACAGGCACCAGGGACAGACGGCTACTCTAAAACCTGAAAGGCAGACAGCGTGACTGACAAACGGACTGACAGACAGAGTGACCCACAGAATGACCCATAAATATTTGGTTGTGCAACGGCAAGAACAAATAAAGAAATACAAAGGAAAATGAGAGAAAAAATAAAAAAACTGTGAAAAATGGTAAGGAAATGAAAGCAAAAACGTATGCAGAAAAACATAAAAAGGAATGCAAAATATAGTGTATGCATGTACCACTCTACTCTACTCCTATATGCAACAGAAAATTCACAGAAATAGCAGGGAATTCCCTGAACAGAAGCACTTCTCTTCCACATGTCAACTCTTCATTAAAGTTTCAAATTTCTTGAATTTTGAAAGTCATATTTCGAAGGTATGTGTTTTTTTAGGACCCTTAAACATGTGTAGAACGCCTTAGCTTTGTCCGAAAATACAAAATCACAAAGGAGTCTGTTTAGTGCCTGAATTATTAAGAGCCACACATTTCATATGCAGGCGTGACACAGTTTGGAGAGTAACTTAAGTCTACTATTAATATTAATACTTTTGAAATTTATGAGACATTTATCTTGCAGGACTTTGTGTCATAAGAGAAAGATCAGTTCGTAAGACAAACATGAATTCATAATTTAATAATTAAAGGCTCTGCGCAAGAGGTGAAAATTAAAAAATAATATTTAGAAGCATTCAGTGGAGAAGTAATATAACTTTAAAATGAACCGATTAAATAACAGATGCCATAGATATTTTTAGAAATTTACAGAACTTCCTAGGCCTTTATTACTCATTTAAAAAACTGTTCTGCTTGAATAATTCCATTTTAATTAGTAGTAAAAATAAACCTACAATTACATACATATGCATAACAACACATCAAATGAAGGGAAAAATCAATTAACTATACATTTCAAGAAGCATATTTTTCGCCAGTACAATGTGAAGCTTTGTTCATTTATTAATTACTCTACAACATAATCGCAAAATGACCAACCCGATAATTCTTCTTAATGAATAAAATCAATTAAATTGTGAAATGCCGAAATGCATTAAGCTGTGATGCAATTTCGGGATTATTAATTGAAGCTTTAAATCCGCTTTTCAACACACACAAACAAATATATTATTGTTTGTATCCCTTTTGCAGCCAAACGACCCCCGGTGGAGGAGACGGCATCCTTTCTGCAGAGCCTGATTGCATCGCATGGACCCAACTATCTGGAGAAGCTTTTTGGCAGCAAGGCACGTGATGCCCTGTCACCTCTTGGCGGTGTCGACAAGGTGGCCATCGCTTTGAGTGAATCGCAAACGATTGAGGACTTTGGTGCTGCCCTTCGACTAATGAGGTGAGTTCTCCAACGGGTTTCAATGGGGCTCTGGGCTACCATTTGTGTGGACACAGACCCTTAAGCGACAAGATACGAGTGTTTTGTTCGGTCCCCTCTTTTTATGGTCATACATAATTTTAATCCCTCTTCAAGTAAACTTTTTGGCATAGCCCCAGGCTATGGTTTCAAATCCTTTTATTCCTGTAAAACTATCCACAGCACACTGTCCTCTGTGTCCTTGTCCTTGTCCCAGAATTATATCTGGGTTCCCTTTTCTGCCCCTCCACCCAACACCTCCCTGTGCTTTGTTATTTGTGTTGCTGCTGGCACAATAACATTTCGAGGGTTCAAGGCAACCCCAAAATACACAGAGAGCGTCATGAAATTTTCAAATATTTCATACATATTTATCATACTTTTTTCCTCCTCATATTTTTATCTCTCTCTTTTTTCTGTTCTTGGTTTTTTTTTTGTTAGCTTTAGTTTATGAAAAGTTGCTGCTGTGGAGCGAATGTCTGCTGCTCATGAAATTTATTTGGCTTTGTCCTAAGCAAACAAAATTTTGTCATATCCTAATGAATTCAATTAGGAAATGTGGTAAGGGTATAAAGGTCTACAGAGTGTTAGGGAGTAGGGTATGCAGCAGTTAAAGCAATGATATAACTGGGATCTCCCTTTATTTCTCCAAAATTTACACCTTACAGAGAGTTTAATGCAAAAGTAAAAGCTCTTCGAATGGAAAGTTTTTTTATCTCTAATACCTAGATTCCAAACATTATTTTCACCCATGAAATGTTGTTCTTTTTGTGCACTTTAATTCACTTTTAAAACTGCCTTCGTTCCCATGTCAATCTCAACCCCCAACATGCATTAATTATGCCCTGCGCTCAAGCCCTACGCCCACTAGCCTCCCTAGGCCACCACATATACACTCTCATACGTATACACTCTACCTATGAGCCTCCCTCCCTGCCTCACTCATCATTCATTTTGTTAAAAGATAAACAAAGGCTGAAATTTAATTAACAAAAATAACAACAAAAGAGCGGGCGAGAAAGAGGCAGAGCGAGGCAGAGGCCCCCAAGAAAAACACAACCTGAAAGAAGAGAATTTTCATTAAATAAGTACAACAAAAACTAACCGCAAAATTGTGTGGTAGTAAGGGCAGTCGGGGTTCCGTTCCTAGCTAGGGCTGGCTGGCAATAATAATAATAATAAAATTGTAAAGACCCCCGACAGACGGCAGCCGGGACCATCGCCCGAGGACCAGACAGAAAAGGACATGAAAATATTTGACTTCACGCACTTGTTGATAAATTAGCAAAATAACCCGCAAAACGTATAAGTCGCTCTGCCTACGATATTTTGCAGTCGTTTTGTTATTTTGCGTTTGTTTTTCTCTCAAAAAAAGAGTCGTAAAAAAGCGGCAGAAAATTAAGTAAGCAACAGTGGGAGAACGAGAGTTGTTAAAGGACCCCATGTGGACCCCTCCACCTTCTGCGCCTTTCCTTTTTTATTTTAACACAATTTCATCAACGCAATTAATTGTCCGAGTGTCATAATGTCATTCTGCTAGAGGGACAAAGATAGCAATGCAAAATAATAGAGCAAGAGAAAGATAGAATTGGATGAATGAACCGGAGAGACCCTTACAAAACCAAACCCGAATCCGACCTCAAAGCTCGAACCACAAGACACGCACACGAATGTTATTAATGTGTGTTTTTTTCACTTTTCTTATGCCATCTGCCTTGCTCTATCTCTTTCTGTCTTTTACGCTGTGTTTCTCACTCTCTCTCTCCTCCCAGTCTCCCACTACCGCTTACTTGTTAATTACGTTGATGATAACAAAGTTCGTCTAGCAAAGAAGCAACAAGAAGCATACAAAAAGTGGCTCTAGTTCGAAAATTGCTTACTCTTTTTTCTATAAAGAGTACAAAAAAGTATAACTGATGTTAATGAAATTAGTGTATCTACATATCTGTAAAGTGTCATTGTAATATCTGTTCAACCGAATAAACTTTACCAAAAATAAGATTTATAGGTCCATGACAACCATAGCCTCTCTCTCTCTCTGTAAGGGTATTTAAAATACTTAGGGGAGTACTATAGATAAAGAGAAGAGGATGGGGTGGGGCGGCTAGAGGGTGGATATGCTGGTGCTACATATCCAACAAACAACAGGCTTGAAGCAACAGCAGAATGGTTTCACGATACCTGCAGGGATTAATTAAGCAAAGCGTATAATTTGAAGCTCGCCGCAGAAAAGCTTTAACTTGTCTCCATGTGCACGAATGTATGTGTGTGTGTGAATGTGTGTACATGTGGTTTGGATGGGTGTGTGCGAGAGTGTAAGAGCAGCTTTGGCTTTATAAGTTCTACTATTAGCCTGGGCTGGTACAATTGAAGGAACATTGGTATTAGGGATACAAGTTTGTTCTGGAAATAAGTAAAAGTTCAGTTTGGAGTAAAATTATGGTCTATTGAAAACCCCACCTTATTTAAACATGGTAGTAAAGGGAGTTTAGAATATCGATAAATAAATATCAGATAAGGTGATTTAAGATCTGAAAGATCGCTTAACGAATAACGTTCATGCAGCAGCACGCCTTGGCTTGTGAAATGAGTTTCTGCTGCGGTTCTTGTGCCTTTTTAGGTCCTTCTCCAAGAATATTGCACTAAAACCACTCCAATATGCTATTTGAATAATAGATTTTAAACCCCTTTCTTAGACCTTTGTAACCACTTCAACATATTGGTACTGTTCCTCCAGGACCATCGCCAACGAATTCACCCGCTTTACATTCGTTTTCATTGGCTTAAGACATTTACCAGGGAGAGCGAAAAACTTTATTTAAGTTGTGCAATTAATCAGAAAAGAAAATAATGAAAATTAATGACATTTTCTGTTGGGTTTGTTCTTTCATTGCAGATCCGATTTGGAACACTTGCGCTCGGTATTCATGGCTGTGGAAAATGGGGATCTGGGTATGCTGAAATCGTTGGGCATCAAGGACTCGGAGCTGGGAGATGTGAAATTCTTCTTGGAGAAGCTGGTGAATACCGGTTTCCTCGACTGAGTAGCGCCTGATCCGGCTTCTGGATTTTATTATGCCCATGCACAGCCCATCAATCCTAATTTCTATTCGTATTTGGGTGCCCCATACGATAATTACAATTATTAAATGGGAATGCACTCAAAAAATACACTCAAAAAAACTCATTTCTATTCATACCACGCCATTAGATGTTTTCTCAAACTCTTTTTATGCTTTTCGACTAACTTCTTCTCTCTTTAATCTAGATTTTGCTTTTAAGTTATTTTTTTACTTACCAAAACACTTTTTATAAAAAAAAATATCAAAAAATTCGAAAATCAAGAAAACTAAAAACTACAAAAAAAAATTGCAAAAACCCACAACAAAAATTCACAAAAAAATAACAAATTTAAATATGTTTAAAATAGAAGAACATATTCGGCTGCTCTCTCTAAAATCTTTCTCTCAACATTTTCACGCTATTTCCCTCACTTTCTCGTCGACTTTCTCTCATAATATTTGTTGCAATTTCCATTGAAGATCTATAAATTTATTTTTGAGAAAATCAGTGCGCAAATATCAGTAAACAAAACAAAAGAACAAAAATCCTTCATGAGAACTAAATAAAATAAAGAATAAAATATGGAAGCAGGATCGTTTGGCAAAAAGAGGATAACTTAATGAAAACTATGAAAAATAAAAAAAAAATAAACAAAAAATCTTTTCTGAAACAAACATATATACTATATATATTAAATATATTGATTTTTATTGATGTATATGTAATAGTGTTTCAAGGCTTCTTAGATCCGTAAAGTACACCGATCACTTATGGTATTCACGAAACTAAAGTCCCTAATTGAGCAAAATGAAACCTCAAAGTAAAAGACCTTCAGTAAAGAACCTTCCACTAAAGAATCTTCTATGAACTTTTATTCACTTTTCCTCAATCTTAAACTAATATTAAAACTTAAACATTTCTTTAGTTGTTAGTGTTTATATTTTAGAAAAAAAGCCCTGCAGCTAATCTACTAAACCCCCCAAGAAAAGACAGTATGAGAAATACGAATATATCAGAATCATACTTACAATATCTACGAAGATATAAATCCCAAACAGTATGTGCAAAAGTCGAGCTACTGTGCATACAACAACTAAGGGGGTAAAGCAGAAAACCATTACGGAAACCGTTTTGAGTTGCATAATTCACGAAAAAATATGTTTATGTGTGTCTAAAAAATATAATAAAAAAACACTTAAGATTATGTATTCCATAAAAACTCAAACAACTTTACTCAAATTCTTAACAAATATACTTCTTAAAAAAAATTAAATAAAGACAATTTGTAACCAAAATGAGATTCTAACAAACATTTTGAGAGCCAATTTCTGTTGAGCCAAAAACTGACCCCAACAAATTTGGAAACTAATTCGAAGAAAACACAGCAATTGGCTCTCAAAAAACATACGCAAACAAAACAATACTTTCCTTTCTAGCTATAAGAAAAGTCTATTATTCCTTAAAATTATTTAAAAAATGGAGCACGGAATTGTTGAAAAGAAAACTAAAAATAAACATAAAAAAAGAAAATTTGAATAAAGTGAGGATTTAAAAACGAAACCCAGCGTTGAAAGGAAAAAGGAAAGACAATTTTTAATGGAGTTATAAGTACCTTGAATTAGCTGATAGATCAGAACCACTAATGTTATTTATTCGAGAAAACTTTTTATCAAATATAGTTGTCTATTTAAAAAATATATATACTAAATATATTTAATCAATAAAACACTTAAGCAAATCAAGAGTAATTATAACAAGACGAAAGAACCGAGAAAAACTGATCCATTGAACTATATATATATATATATATATATATGAACATCATATATATGGTATATACGAGTGTAAAGGGCCCCATGTAAATAAAGAGGAGACAAACTACTAAATTCCATAATCGATGCAAATGATTTAAGAACGGAAAGCCGAAAGAAAAGCTAAAGGAAACCAAAGAAAGCCAGAGAGGAAATAGAAAAAACAAAAGTGATAATTTTGTGTTTTTTCTTTGGTTTGATTTTAACTTAATTAAAACTAAAAAGAAGGATAGAAAATCTACAAAAAAAATTAATATTTTTTCCTTGTGAATATTTTTGAACTATTTTTATTCAAAATATATACAATACAAATTGTAAGCCACGGAAAAACTATATCGCAAAACATATCAGCAGATCTGATCAGATCACGAAAATTATATGGTAATACAAAATATATGCAAACATATCAAGTTAGACACAAACAACAAAAACATATCAAATATGAAGTGGATAAAGTGGAAGAAAAACTTAAAAATCCAATACATTTAAGCAAAATATGAATATAATGAGTAAAAATCACACCGAAGGAGATTTTCTAAAAGTTATTACACATTATGATTTTTGTTTAAGTTGTTATTTGTTTAAAACATTTGTAACTTGTTTCAGGGTTTTAAACCAAAACTGACCCATTGAACTCTTAAAATCCTGAAACAATTGTACAAAAATTTGACACTGATATAATTTATAATTACACTTACAAAATATGTACATCCTACAGCTTTTTAATTTAAAATTTAATTTTATTTTTTACTTTAAAATGATTTCTCTTGACTTTAAGTTGAATTTAACTATCAAAGTTACCACCAAAACAAATAGTTGAGATAAGGAAATATATGCAATACATATCTTAAAGAGAAACCCCGGTAAAAACGTAGACAGAAAATAGACAAATACTCGTACTCCAAAAAAGCAAACAAGAGACAAATTTGCTCTTCAAAAATCAAACAAAAAAAGGTATATTATATTCATAATTATACATACATATACGAAAATATACAATTAATGTTGGAAAATACACTACAAGAAATCTATAAACCATGGATTAAGATTCAACAAAAAATACAAAACATTTAAGAAACGAAAAACCGATGGAAAAGTAACTAAAATAAACATTTTTATTTGGTGTGCTGTTTTAAAAACAAAAAACAAAAGAACGAAAACGAATATACACTTGTGTTTTCTTTTTTGGGCGATGGAATGGGAGGGAAGACTATGGAATATTATCATGTTTTGGGTTGCATTATGTAGAAATGATGGGCCAATTTTTGTGGAATACGATTTTCTACCTGAACGGGTATTCTTCCTCCTACAACATATTGGGGAAGTCATCTAAAAACAGATATAGATAAAGAGGCCCCAAAAAAAAATGTACAGAGGCCACTCTTCATATTTTCTCAACCCCCAATCGTAATATTTGTGTTTATATCAAACGACTGAAGTGCATTAATTAATTGAAAGAATTCTATTTTGGGGAAATATTAGACGACAGTCGCATAAGCTCGTATCTTGACTTGTGTTTTACCTGAGCGATAAGATACATATACATACATATGTACAGTACATGTGTCTCGCCCTCTCTTTCTAGCTATTACTTTCGCTGGAGAGAGCTTCAGATAGCACGCGCTCCTCTCACTGCAAATACGAGTGCGAGACATGGAACGAAACGTCTTTATATTCTAATCAGAGAATGTAGAATGTAGATTTGTTGTTGCCGATAGCCTTCGTATTATTTGCTCTTGATTAGCCAGAAAACCTCTACCTCTCTGGGTTCCATGGGGTACCTTAGTCGTGTTTTAGTCGGAAGTCAGTGCGGAGGGTCTGTGTAGAGTCGGTTTGCGATTCAGTTTTGGGGTCTGGGCAAACCCTTAAGTAGTTTCGATTTAACATATTAGCAGAAACCTCATAAAGATAGTGAAATTTGGTGGATAGAATTCCCGATGAATACCATTCCTACGGCCAGAGACTCTCTACGATTCGTTAACGCATAGAAATACACATAAATATTACACATTTTATAGATGGATGGTTCCTTGGAATGCCTTTAGGCGCTGCTGATCTAGTGTAATCCCCTTATCCCTCTTGTGATAATGAAATTTACGCAAAATATTTACCTGTTGATATCGTAAGTTCCACTTACATATGCCTAAAAGAATGCTATAGTGATTAAAATTTCAATTAAAAGAAGTGATCTAATATTCCACTAATAATTCGTCCATAAAGTCACCTATAAATACAAAAGTGTCCACTAATTCCCAAAAAGAAAGTGATATACATATAAAACCCTTTGAAAGATGCACAATTCCAGCGATTATGATTCGGTTTACAGCGAAGAGGATTACCAGAATACGGTCCGAGGGGCCATTACACCACCACTGATGGACTACGAGGAGTTTCGAGTCAAAACAATGGGTAAGTACAGGGTATTCCGGTCCCTCAGAGACGCTAACGTCTACCCCCTTATCTACTGTTTGTTATGAGATTTTCTACACACGGTTTCTGTTCAAGATATGAAAACTTTGATAAAATGCCACTGCATAGTGACATTTTTAGCGAATCAAAGTGTAGATCTACAAAAACTGTTGCGGAGGTCCATACATATGTACATTCCTGTCCGCGAAGGCGTAGATCAGTAAATATACATCAGAAACCCATATCTTGACCCTTAAAAATCCGTCCGTAAATTTTATTTATCGCGATAAATGAACTAAACCAATCAGAATCTTGTTTACTCTCTTTCGCTCTCTCTTAAAAACTCAACGCAGTTGCGCTCTCTCATTGGGCTATGAAAAGTTTTGTCGAGAACGGCTCAACGGCGCCGACGCGAACGTTTCAAGATGCCACTCACCATTCAGAATATTGATGTTTCAATAAAAGGAAAACATGAAAAATAGAATTGGCTCATTATTCGGATAAAATTATAGATTTAGATTTTATATTAAACAGAAGATCAAAGTCGGGAAAAATGATTTTAAATGTACGGTATATTTTTGGTGGTAATATTTTTGGTATATTTCTGTGGCATTTCTGTGCTCATATTTGTAACGCAAAAATGGGGAGAGATATTGCAAAAATTGCTCATCTAATCCTTAAATAAACCGTATTTTTTCGTTAAACACCTATATAGATTCGGATTTTTTTTAAATTATAATTTTAAAAGAAAAATGGTGAACAGAGGTTTTTTTCTTTCTGTTTTTCCTGAGTCTAAGGATGCATTTATCAGTTTTAAAGAAAGGCTAAGTTCACCACAACCAGATGTAAGATAATTAGGTTATGTGAAAAAAACGCTACTTCTAAAAAAACCGTTACAAAATAATACCAGACATTAAAAATTCTCAAAAAATATTTTCCCCCATAAAACAAACAAATTTTTTAAAAAAATGTAAAAACCTCAATCCATCAGAATTAGTTGGTTTGGTTCGACGTGAAAAAAAAAATTGCATTTTGTCGTGTAGTGTAATTTATCGACTAATTTTATTGGTTCAAAGCTAGAAAATTCATTAGTTTTTCTCAAATCATCATCAAGGATTGAAAACGCCGGTGTGACACCTGGAATTTTTTGTAAAGCTGTTGTCAACACTTTAATTTTTAACATAACATAACATATTTTAATCTATAAGGTCATAAGGTATACAATCCAATGCAAAGGAGTATTTACGATAAGCCAAAATGATTCTTCAATCGGATTAAATTAGTTCTTCAGTCTTTAAAGTCTTTGCGAGCTAAGCTTTGCAAGTAATGTCAAATAGAACATAACAAACGAGAAATATGATTTAGGATTACGGTATATTTTAAAAATGACAAGATATATTTTGGTATATTTTTGAGTGTCATGTGGTATATTTGATCGATAAATCCTCGGTTCAGCTGTAGTAACAAACGGCGGTTTAAAAACGCGCCGCCGCAGCGAGCGTGATCAACCAATGTTTTTACGAACTTAACAACGAACTTGCGGAAGCTTTTTTCTCAACGATCAGGAAAAACAACAAATAAACGCAATAGAAGTGGCTATTAAAAGTGTGCGCCATTTGCAAATTATAAATATTAAAAATAGTAAAAGCGTGGAGGTAAAAGTTTGCAAATAGTGAAGTACAGCAAAATATAAAAAACGGTGGAGCTGAAGTTCAAGGTGTATGCGTGCGTGTGTGTTTGTGAGTGGTGGGAGCAACAAGTTATTGAAATGCTAAAGTTAACAAACATTTTGGTTGAAATTCAAACAAAAACGATAGTGTTGCTAACTTATGAATTATAATAATTGCAAGTGCTGTGCGGTTTTAAT